TATTGATCCAGACTGAATCCTGGCACCCAGTTACAGCTATTGAGGGCATCTGGGGATAAACTGCAGGATGGGACATTTGTGTCCATGTGTATGTATTTTTCTGTGTATGTGTGTGTTGTCTGTATCTTTCTGCTTTGCAAAGAAATAAAATGTAAATAAATGTTTACTCCAGGGAATCAGGGAGTTATGCTAGCATGTTTTATAATTTCAATTCAAAATGATTGTAATTGATCATCTTTAAGATTTGACTTTCAGGGCCAGCACCATGGCACAGTAGGCTAAGCCTCTGCCTGCAGTGCAGGCATCCCATATGGACTCCTGTTTGTGTCTCGGCTGCTCCACTTCTGATCCATCTCTCTACTATGGGATGAGAATGCAGTGGAAGATGGTCCAGGTGCTTGGGCCACTGAACCCACATGGGAGACCTGGAAGAAGCTCCTGGTTCCTGGCTTCAGATTGGCCCAGCTCCAGCTGTTGTGGCCATTTTGGGAGTGAACTAGCAGATGGAAAACCTTTCTCTCTGTCTCTCCCTCTTTCTGTCTGTAATTCTACCTCTCAAACAAATAAATAAAATCTTAAAAAATTTTTTTGACTTTCCATTTCCTACTTTATACAGCTTTCAGAAACAAATAAAGTAACTCTCAGAGGAGCTAGCATTTCTTGTTTCTTAAAACTAAATGTGAGTTCTAGGAAGATGGCGGAATAGGGAGGAAGCACACCGATGGTCCAGGAAGGGAAGGTTCAAAGAGGGGTGAGAATTTGTAGTTTCAGGGAAAGGGAAGCTCTTCTGAAACTGGGGAGACAGGGTGGACCTGCAAGGAGGACACGGACGTCTGAAGCGCAGAACACCAGCAGGAGTGTGTACGAACCAGCACTGGAAGCCAAGGTGAGACAGGGCACTCGCCCAGCACTGCTGTAACAGCCACCGCCGCCCCTCCCCCAACCCACCCTGGGACGGACACTGAGATACGCACAACTGAGTGGGGGAGGAAATAGAAAACGGAACAGAATGACATGATACTATATATAGGGGACCCGATAAACTCCTATAAGAGACTATTGGAACTCATAGAAGAGTTTGGTAAAGTAGCAGGATACAAAGTCAACGCTCAGAAATCAACAGCCTTTGTATACACAGATAATGCCAGGGCCAAGGAAGAACTTCTAAGATCAATTCCATTCACAATAGCCACAAAAACAATAAAGTACCTTGGAATAAATTTAACCAAAGATGTCAAAGACCTCTATGATGAAAATTACAAAACACTAAAGAAAGAAATAGAAGACGACACAAAAAAATGGAAAAACCTGCCATGCTCATGGATTGGAAGAATCAATATCATCAAAATGTCCATTCTCCCAAAAGCAATTTACAAGTTTAATGCAATACCAATCAAAATACCAAAGTCATTCTTCAAAGACCTAGAAAAAACGATGCTGAAATTCATATGGAGAAACAGGAGACCGAGAATAGCTAAAGCAATCCTTTACAATAAAAACAAGGCCGGAGGCATCACAATTCCAGACTTCAAGACATACTACAGGGCAGTTATAATCAAAACAGCCTGGTACTGGTACAAAAACAGATGGATAGACCAATGGAACAGAATAGAAACACCGGAGATCAATCCAAACATCTATAACCAACTCATATTTGACAAAGGACCTAAAACCAACCACTGGAACAAGGACAGCCTCTTCAACAAATGGTGCTGGGAAAACTGGATGTCCACATGTCGAAGTATGAAGCAAGACCTCTACCTTACACCTTATACAAAAACCACTCAACATGGATCAAAGAACTAGAGATGTGCCACGACACCATGAAACTAATTGAGAGCATAGGGGAAACCCTTCAAGATATTGCAACAGGTGAAGAATTCCTGGAGAAGACCCCAGAGGCACGGGTAATCAAAGATAAAATAAACAAATGGGATTACCTCAAATTGAAGAGTTTCTTTACAGCAAAGGAAACAGGAAAGTGAAGAGGCAACCAAAAGAATGGGAGACGTTATTTGCAAACTACACAACAGATGAAGGATTAACAACTAGAATCTATAAAATGATCAAAAAACACCACAGAATCAAAACAAACAGCCCAATAAAAAATGGGCCAAGGACCTTAACAGACATTTTTCAAAAGAGGAAATCCAAATGGCCAACAGACACATGAAAAAATGCTCAGGATCCCTAGCCATCAGGGAAATGCAGATCAAAACCACAATGAGGTTTCACCTCACTCTAGTTAGATTGGCTTACATACAGAAATCAACCAACAACAGATGCTGGCGAGGATGTGGGGAAAAAGGGACACTGATCCACTGTTGGTGGGAATGCAAACTGGTAAAACTACTATGGAAGACAGTTTGGAGAGTCCTCAGAAACCTGAATATAGCACTACCACAGGACCCAGCCATCCCACTCCTTGGAATATACCCAAATGGAATTAAAGGGGAGAAAAAAAGAGCCATTTGCACCTCAATATTTATTGCAGCTCAATTCACAATAGCTAGGACATGGAATCAACCTAAATTTCCACCAACGGATGTCTGGATAAAGAAACTATGGGATATGTACTCTATGGAACACTATACAGCAGTAAAAAACAATGAAATCCGGGCATTTACAACAAAATGGAAGAAGCTAGAAAACATCATACTGAGTGAAATAAGCCAGTCCAAAAGGGACAAATATCATATGTTCTCCCTGATCGATGGCAATTAAACGAGCATCTAAAATGATACCCATTTAAGTGAAATGGACACTATGAAAGACAATGACATGATCAGCCCTTGTCTAGACTGTTGAGGAACAACTTACTATTTTATTTCCTTTTAGTATTTTTGTTGTTGTTGTTGTTGCTCTGTTTGTTCTACATAAGACCACTGGTTGAACTTTGTAATCAATGCACAATCATTCTTAGGTGTTTAAAATTAACAGAAAAGTGGCCGGTGATGTGGCTCACTAGGCTAATCCTCCATCTTGCTGCGCCAGCACACCGGGTTCTAGTCCCGGTCAGGGCACCGGATTCTGTCCCAGTTGCCCCTCTTCCAGGCCAGCTCTCTGCTGTGGCCAGGGAGTTCAGTGGAGGATGGCCCAAGTGCTTGGGCCCTGCACCCCATGGGAGACCAGGAGAAGCACCTGGCTCCTGCCTTCGGATCAGCGTGGTGCGCCGGCCGCAGTGCGCCGGCCATGGCGGCCTTTGGAGGGTGAACCAACGGCAAAGGAAGACCTTTCTCTCTGTCTCTCTCTCTCACTGTCCACTCTGCCTGTCAAAAAAAAAAAAATTAACAGAAAAGTGATCTCTGTTAAACATAGTAGTGGGAATAAGAGAGGGAGGAGATATATAAGTCGGCGCATGCTCACTCGGACTTACCTCCAATGGTGGAACTAGAAATGTGCCAGGGGATTTCAACCCTATCTTACCAAGGAGGCAGGTACCAATGCCAGTGCACTTGGTAAAGTGATAAGTATAAATACACAACCGATCAAAAAGATAGGGTAAGTGTCGAAGAGATTTCACAAATAATACCAGTGTAAGCAAACAATGAAGGATAAAATTAAAAGGGAGAGAATGATCCTGCGGGGGAAGCAGGACACACAGCAGACTCATAGATTGGCAAATGCCCAAAACAGCACTCCTGCCTCAGAATCAACCCTTGGGACATTGGGATCTGGCTAAAAGGTCCATGAGAGTCTCACAGGCATGGGAAGCCATGACACATGACAAAAAACTATCTAAATGAAAGATCCTGGTGAACAAGACCCCAGCAGAAGGAACAGGCCATCAAGGAGAGAGGCACCTTTCTCTGAAGGGAGGAAGGAACCCCCCACTGTGATATGGCCTTGACTAAACAAGTTCAGAGTTGGTGAACTCAAGGGGCTTCCATAGCCTAGACAGCTCATGGCAAGAGTCTCAGGTGATTACTGATGTCATAAATAAGAGTGCCAATTGTTAAATCAACAACAGGAGTCACTGAGTACTGGCACCCCATGTAGGATCTCTGTCCTTAATGTGTTTTACTATGAAACTTAAAAACAACACTACTAGTCGAACAATGCCCTATACCTTGTGCAGTTGTGTGAGTGCAGCCTGTTGAAATCCTTGCTTAGTGTGTACTAAGTTGATCTTCTGTATATGAAGGTAATTGAAAATGAAACTCGATGAAGGGCGGGATGGGAGAGAGAGTGGGAGAGGGGAGGGCCGTGGGAGGGAGGGAGGTTGGGGGGGGAGCCACAACAATACAAAAGTTGCACTTTGTAAATTCACATTTATTAAATAAAAATAAATAAATAATAATAAAAAAACTAAATGTAACTGCAAACATTAAAAAAAATTCTGTTTAAAACCATTTTACAAATCAGTTAGAAAGCCAGTCCCTAGTGTTTAATGAGATTTTTTTAAAAGAATCTATGTTGAAAGTCAGCATCTTAATTATCAAAATGAAGATTAAGAGTGGAAATAAAAGTGATGATTATGGAAGCAAATTGAGCGTGACATAGGAATGACTTAGTCTTGGAAAATAATAGTTGGGAAGGATTATTAGTAGAGAATTTTGGCTTATTTTCCTGTTCTGAGATTTAGGACACTAGATTTAATATTTATGTCATGAATTATTAGATACAGTAGTACTTTTTGTCAGCATCCACGTAATATTAAATGAGTTTGACCTTGTGTGAGACTCATTTAATGTGTAGAAGGGCTATTCCACTCTGCATTCATAGTATCAAGAACTTTAAAGAAGAGAGTGGTAAAGAAAATCTGAAAGTGATATGCAATTATTTCACTTTTTAACATATTCTAATAAATTAGAGAAGAATTGGAAAATGTATCTATTTTACTGTCTCACAAAGGAAATAACCTGGTAAGACTGGATAGCTTTATTGTTCATTATTATTATTGAACTATGAGGATAAACTTCATTGAAGGGTGAGAATAAAATAACCATCAAATTATCTGTTTCTTTATGTCATCAAAGATATATCTGCTTTGAACTTACCACAAATTAACTTTCCGATCTTGGGGAAGTGACTTCACCTCTGTAGATCAGATCACACTTCCTTGTCTGTAAAATGAGTCAGATTAGATGATCTTTTGCTACCATTGCTGTGACACAATGTGGGGCCCCTTCCTTGACTCCTAGATGATTAGCAGTAAGATTTGTGTGTAGCATTTCTGTGAAGAAGCATTTATGCATCATACACAAATGGAATAAATTATCCTGTTTAAATAAAAACCTTAATGAGGTTTCACTTCACCCTGGTTAGAATGGCTTTCATACAGAAATCAACAAACAATAAATCTGGTGAGGATGTGGGGGAAAATGTACCCTAATCCACTGTTGGTGGGAATGTAAACTGGTGCAGCTACTGTGAAGACAGTATGGCGGTACCTCAGAAATCTGAATATAGACCTACCATATGACCCAGCCATCCCCCTCCTGGGCATTTACCCAAACTGAAAGAAATCAACATACAAAAGAATTATCTGCACCCCCATGTTCATTGCAGCTTAATTCACAATAGCTAAGCTATGAAATCAGTCCAGATGTCCATGAACTGTTGACTGGGTAAAGAAATTATGGTGTATATACATTATGGAGTACTACTACTCAGCTATAAAAAAAGAATGAAATCCTGTCTGTTTCAACAAAATGGATGCAACTGGAAACCATTATACTTAATGAAATAAGCCAGTCCCCAAAAGACAGATGCCATATATTTTCGCTGATCCAAGGTAACTAATAGAGCCTGGAATATAATGTATTAGAGTGAAATGGGCATTTTGAGATTTGATGATTATTTACAGTCCTGTCTCTTCTGTTGAAGGACACTGTTTTTTACTTCATACCATTTGTTGAAATCTTTTACTTAGTTTAGGAATAGCTTTATGATCATTAAGTAAACTGAAAGTAGATCTTTGTAAAACTTAAGAGTGGGAATGGAAGAGGGACGAGGAGGAAGGGTTGGAGCATGGGCAGGAGGGAGGGTAGGATGGGAAGTATCACTAAGTTCCTTAATCTACATATATAAAATATATGAAACTATATAACAAATATTTTTTTAAAAATATGCAAAAATGCTCTGTGGAAGAAAATAAAAGGACTTGCTTGGACATAATGATAGTATATAAACAGAAATAACCATTTATGGATTATATGTATGTATATTATATGTATGTATATAGGGAGACATATATATTAGTGTAATGGTCACGAGATAATGATATGTAAATAATGGATCAGTAAAATGTATGTTTGATATTAAATGCATGAGAACAGTGTCATGCTACAAGAATATTTAAAAGCATAAATGTAAATAACAAAATTATCCTACTGTATTACATTTCACAAAAGCATTAGTAGGAATGGAGAGCACTCCAAAGCAATAGTCTTACATTAACTCAGTTAATGATCAAAACAAAACTATAATGTAGATACTATTAATATTGGCATTTCCATTTTACAGAGAATTCTGAAGCTCAGAGAGGTTAAGTATCAAGCACTCTGTCACCCAGAAAGTAACTGACACAGCCAAGTTTAGGATCCAGGCAGTCAGGTTCCAGAGTCCTTGCATACTAAACCGCAATCTGTGTTACCTCTGTGTTAAGTTGTAGGAAGCACAAATTTATGTCTAATTGCTAAGGCTGCATTGTGAGTATGCTGGGGCTGAGACTGGGTGTGAGACTGATGCGGGGTCAATAATTTTATTGAGAAAACAAACCAGGATTGCTAATTTTACCTGAAGAGGCAGAAATAAAGTCAGTTGCAGAAAACCGAATTGGCAGTCACTTTAAGACATAGACATCTGAGGGTACTTTAATTCATTCATGGAAATGAAATCAAATGATAAAGCTATTTTGGGGGGAAAAATGAAACCCATTTATAGTTTTGTCACAACACACATTTTTCATGAAATTTTTGAAATACTGGCTACCACACAGCCAATCAAGGCCATGGCTGGTGAAAGGTAGATCCTATCATCCAAATCTGGTGATGCCTCCAATTTCACAACCCTCTATCAATTGTTAATAAACTGTTGCATTTGTAAAAGAAATACCCATGTCTCCAAAAATGCCACCACTATAACCAACTTACAAACCAGGTACCTTTCTCTGAAGGGAGGAGAGAACTTCCACTTTGACTATGACCTTGTCTAAATAAGATCAGAGCTGGCGAACTCAAGAGGCTTCCATAGCCTTGGCAGCTCATGACAAGAGCCTCGGGTGATTACTGACGCCATAAATAAGAGTGTCAGGCCAGCACCGCGGCTCACTAGGCTAATCCTCTGCCTGCGGCACCGGCACCCCGGGTCCTAGTCCCGGTCGGGGTGCCAGATTCTGTCCCGGTTGCCCCTCTTCCAGGTCAGCTCTCTGCTGTGGCCTGGGAGTGCAGTGGAGGATGGCCCAAGTGCTTGGGCCCTGCACCCCATGGGAGACCAGGAGAAGCACCTGGCTCCTGCCATCGGATCAGCGCGGTGCGCCAGTGGCAGCGCACAGGCCGTGGCGGCCATTGGAGGGAGAACCAACGGCAAAGGAAGACCTTTCTCTCTGTCTCTCTCTCTCTCTCTCACTATCCACTCTGCCTGTCAAAATAAATAAATAAATAAATAAGAGTGTCAATTGTTAAATCAACAACAGGAGTCACTGTGCACTTACTCCCCATGTAGGATCTCTGTCCTTAATGTGTTGTACTATAAATGAATTAACGGTATAACTAGTACTCAAATAGTACTTTATACTTTGTGTTTCTGTTAGGGTGCAAACTGTTGAAATCTTTACTTAGTATATACTAAATTGATCTTCTGTATATAAAGATAATTGAAAGTGAATCTTAATGTGAATGGAATGGGAGAGGGAGCAGGAGATGGGATGGTTGCGGGTGGGAGGGAGGTTATGGGAGGGAAAAAGTCGCTATAATACAAAAGTACTTTGGAAATTTATATTTATTAAATAAAAGTTAAAATTGATAAATTATACTTCAACTTTTTTCAAAAGTTCAGGCTAAGTTAAATAACAGCATTAGTCATCAGCTTACTGTTAGTCTTTATTTTTTCAATATTTGCATTTATTTAGTTATTTGTTTTAATTTTATTTAAAAGGCAGAGACAGAGAGACAAAGAAATGGAGAGAGACATTCTGTCTGATGGTTTACTCCCCAAATACCAGCAACAGCAAGAGTAGGACCAGGTGGAAGCCAGGTGCCAGGAATTCCAGCTAGGTCTCCCTTGTGGGCAGCAGCAACCCAAGTACTTGAGCCATCATCCACTGCCTCTAAGATGCATTAGCAGGAAGCTGGTTAGGAAACCGAGTAGCCAGGATTGCAAGCAGCAGTCTAACATGGGATGTGGGCTTCCCAAGCAGTGGACTAACATGCTGCATCACAAGACCTGCCCCCAGGGTATTTCTTTCTCTTCTTCTAAGGATTTTTATTAGGAATTGTTGTTAAATATCATCAAATGTCTTTTGGTAATTATCAACATAGCCATATTTTTAATTCTTTGTTACAGATGGTCTCCAACTTATGATGATTCAACTTAATGATTTTTTCAGCTTTATAGTAGTGTAGAAAATACCACACATTCAGTAGAAACTACACTTTGAGTTTGGAATATTATCTTTTCCTGGGCTGTGACATGTACCACAGTGCTCTTCTGCAATGCTGGGCAGCAGCCGTGGCAGTAGCAGTGAGTCACAGCTCCCAGTTAGCCATGTGATCACCAAGGTAAATAATCAATACTCTACAGTGTACTGTGTTGGTAAGCTATGATGTTTGGTAGTTAAACATATTAAATGCATTTTCAACTTATTATGGGTTTATTGAGATATTGTTCTATCATAAGTCAAGTAGCATCTATGCTTTAATATTAATACTTAAGAAAAATTTTTGTTATTGAATCATAGCTACATCCCACAGGTTATATTGAGCTGTTTCTAGGCATATATTGGGCAATTTTAAGGGTATTATTACAATTTTCTAAATACAAAAGGACTATATTTAATTTGACCAAATAGGTTTTATGAATGTCTAATACAGCAGAAACTACTGAAGCAACTTTAGAACCTTTGATAAAAAAGAATGCTACTAGTATATACTCCTTTCCTTGTTTGCCTTTGAAAGTCTATTTCTTATTAAATTGTGTATCTGATTGTCAGCAATACTTGGATCTACAAAATAAAATAAATGAAGCAAACCAAGTCCATGGGAAATTTTCCCTTACAGGTCTTAACCAATGGAATATAAACTTAGAATGTTGTCTATACCTAAAAAGATTCAAGATATAACTATGAATACCAGTCTAACATTTTTAAGAGAGGTACACTAGGCCGGCGCCACGGCTCACTAGGCTAATCCTCCGCCTTGCGGCACCGGCACACCAGGTTCTAGTCCCGGTTGGGGCACCGGATTCTGTCCCAGTTGCCCCTCTTCCATGCCAGCTCTCTGCTGTGGCCAGGGAGTGCAGTGGAGGATGGCCCAAGTACTTGGGCCTTGCACCCCATGGGAGACCAGGAGGAAGCACCTGGCTCCTGGCTTCAGATCAGCGCGGTGCGCCGGCCGCAGTGCGCCAGCCGTGGTGGCCATTGGAGGGTGAACCAACAGCAAAGGAAGACCTTTCTCTCTGTCTCTCTCTCTCACTGTCCACTCTGCCTGTCAAAAAAAAAAAAAAAAAAAAAAAAAAGAGGTACACTACGAGTAAAGGAAAAACTAGATTTCTCATCAATTCAGGGGTATGTGTTCTTTGAAATTATTTTTATTGGAAAAAATTTAAAGTGTACACTATGATATTTTTTACATAGGATTCCTTGTGTAATGACTCCCATAATTAATCTAATTTACATATTCATCATCTAGCATGGCTACCTCTTATTCTTCAGTTGAGAATACTTCACATATACTCATGCAATCATTTATCTTAGCCAAAAGTCTAAGAAGCAATATATATATATATATATATCCTCCGTTAGCAAACTTCCAGTACTCTACATTAAATTACCATGCTATACATTACATCTCCAGGACCTGTTCATCTCACAATCTAAAGTTTGTTCCCTTTTACAAATTTCTCC